GGGTCAGATGCCAGAGCAACAAGGGTGAGGTCGTAGTGGGTGTCACCTATAGACCACCAAACCCAGATGCTGAGGTGGATGAGGCTTTCCTGAAACTTGAGCTAGCTGTTTGCAGATCACAGGCCCTAGTTCTCATGGGAGACTTTAAATCACCCATCAATGATATCTGTTGGGAGGGCAATACAGCAGTACACAGGCAATCCAGGAAGTTTTTGGAGAGTCCTGGGGACAACTTCCTGGTACAAGTTTTGGAGAGGCCAACTGGGGACCATGTCCTTTTTGATCTGCTGCTCACAAACAGGGAAGAGTTACTGGGGAATGCAGAAGTGGATGGCAATTTGGGCATCAGTGACTACAAGATGACTGAATTCAGGATCCTGAGGGCAGGAAGGCAGGAAGGAGGGTGGGCAGGCAAGCAGCAAAGTAATGACCCTGGATATCAGAAAAACAGACTTTGACTCGCTCAGGGAAATGCTGGGTAGCATCCCCTGTGAGGCCAATCTGAAGGGAAAAAGGGAGTCCTGGAAAGCTGCCTGTACTTTAAAGAAACCTTACTCAGGGAGCACGAATGAACCAACCCAATGCACAGGAAGACTAGCAAGTTTGGCAGAAGACCAGCTTGGCTTAGCAGAGAACGCTTCAATGAGCTAAAACACAAAAAAAGGAAGCTTACAAGAAGTAGAAACTTGGACAATTAACTAGGGAGAAATATAAGCGTACTGCTTGGGCATGCAGGGATGAAGTCAAGAAGGCCAAATCACAGTTGATGTTGCAGCTAGCAAGGGATGTGAAGGGGAACAAGAAGGGCTCCTACAAGTAAGTCAGTAACAAGAGGAAGATCAGGGAACGTGTGGGTCCCTTACGAAATGGGAGAGGCAACCTAGTGATAGATGATGTGGAACAGACTGAAGTACTGCCTTTTTTACCTCAGTCTTTGTTAATGCCTTTTAAAAAGCATTTAATGCCTTAAGGCCTTTTGTAATGCCTTTTTTAAAGCATAATCTTTTTTACTTCAGTCTTCACAGACAAAGTCAGCTCCCAGACTACTGCATCTGGCAGCATAGTTTGGGGAGGAGATAAACAGCCAACATTGGTGAAAGAACAGGTTAGGGACTATTTAGAAGAGCTGGACGTGTATATGTCCATGTGGCCAAATGCAATGCACCGAAGGGTGCTGAGAGAGAGCAGGCTGAGCAGGAGCGGCTTGAGAACTTGTGGTGATTGGGAGAGGTCTGAGACAACTGGAAAAGAGCAAATATAGTGCCTATCTTTAAGAAAGAGGAAGAGGAGGATCTACAAACTGGTCAGCCTTACCTCAGTCCCTAGAAAAATCGTGCAGCAGATCCTCAAAGAATCCATTTCTATGTACATGGAGGAGACGGTGGTTAGGAACAGTCACAGCATGGATTCACAAAGGGCAAGTCATGCCTGACCAACCTGTCTTCTATGATGAGATAACTGGCTCCGTGGATGGGAGGAGGGCAGTGGATGTGATACATCTTGACGTTAACAAGGGTTTTGATACGGTCTCCCACAACATTTTCACAAGCAAGCCAAGGAAGTACAGGCTGGATGAACGGACTGTAACGTGGACAGAAAACTGGCCGGAGCATTAGGCTTAATGACTCAATTTTTAGTCAGCAGCTGGTCTCAAGTCGAGTGCCCCAGGGGTTGTCCTGGGACCAGTTTTGTTCAATATCTTCATCAATGACCTGAAAGGTGGCACAGAGTGCACCCTCAGCAAGTTTGCAGATACCAAGCTGGTGGGAGTTGTAGATACACTGGGGAATAGGGCTAGGATTCAGAGTTACCTAAAGAAACTGGAGGACTGGAACAAAAGAAAAATCTCATAGGGCACATCCCGACATGCACATGTGGTTTGTAGTGGATCAAAGCAGTCAGAGGCACCAAAAACTGCACACAGTGTACATACACCTGTTTTCCATAATGCAAATTAGCAGCATGGCAATTTTGGGGTTTTTGACACCAGGAGATTCCAGTGTCAAAAAAATGCCACTAAAAAAAACCCAGCATTGTGTAGGCAGCAGCAGTGTGCGCCACCCGAGTGGGAGCCTAGCTAGCCAGAGCCTTGCTCTGGCTGCTGGCCAGGCTCCAAGTGGCTGGTTCGGCACTGGTGCTGCCCTGGGAGACCCCCAGAACCCCAGGTAAAGACTCCCCTAACCCACCCGGGTCACTTTGCCATGTGAAAAAGACTGTTTTCTTCATGTCCCTGCCTCAGAAATGCAATAGAAAACTAATTTCTATCCAGACTCTTCATTTCTGACCTAAAGTGATATAATGCAGTACACAGCTAATCTACTCAATAGTAAAGAATTTTTATATAAATTAAAGCATATTTATTTAACTTATGACTATTTTGCAATGGTTTACAAGCTTTAGTTATCTCTTTTTGAAAAACAGAATCAATTTCTCAGAAGATATATAGATTATCCCAGATGTTGCAGACCTGTGTAACGATGAATACTTAGAAGAAAATTACCTATTAATACAGTGATAAAGTGTAAACTGGCAGCTGGCTGAGTACAAGGGATCAGAGCTCTGTCATTGAAGTAAAAACTTACAGTGGAGGAACGCAAGTATATAGGGGAACCCTAGAAGTTAATGTTGGAGTAAGTTATCCAACATATTCACTTTCATGGTTTTCTATTCCTACTTTGTTTTTCTGCTTCATTTTCTTGTCTGTTTCTTCTTCCACATATCTGTCTCCTTTTTCTTTTAATGGCCAATGCTCATAAGCCAGAGCCACTTTTTCCATCTCCTTTAGTCTATCACAGTAAATCCCCATCTCATCTGTAATGGAACTATTATTTTTATAAAACTGTTCTATGTCACTTTTCTGTACAGACAAAAAACCTGAAATTACACTGTAAATATGCAGAAAAAACACAAATATTGTGGGACGGCTACCCAGTTATCAAATAATAGAAGTGTTATGGCAGATACATTCAGGTGGAAATATAAGTAACAGTGGTCACTTTTTACGTGTCCTGTTCAAGTACCATTTGCTTTCAGCACCTAATGGAATTCTGAAACATTAACAAGTTGCTTTTGTTGCTCACACCATTCTGTTTTACAATTACACTAATATCCTGAATAATCAGATATATAATTTTAGGAGATAATATCATTTTGTTTGGCAGTTAAAATATATTACAGTGGTAAAAATCAGATAAGTTGAATGCTATTTTGAGTGTCTGCAGTGCCTTTTAGTTAGGGCTGTAAAAACTATTTAGAAATATCAGCTAAAGCTTACAGCTCCTTTGCTAGCCACCGATTCCTAGAGTCTTGCTGCCCAGAGAAGGAGTCACTTGCTCAGGGTGGATGCTTTATTAGTCAAGAATATTCTCCAAGTTTTGGTTAACAGCTTGGGGAAATGCTGGCAGCTCTTAGTGGACTACTAATTGAACTTTAAGTCACTTATGTTGTCTAGAGTTCTATTCCAGGCCACTTCCAAGAACTGGTGGGTAGGTAAGTAAAAACCTTGCTCATTTTCAGAAGAAATGAGAAGAAAGAAAAAATTAAGGAATTAATTTAGAGCATTCCTGCCTGAGAAAAAATAGGTCAGGGGTTATTAACAAGTTCTCCTCCTTACTTAGCATCACAAGTAGATTATGGCTCTCTGCAAACCCTTTGCTAGAAGTAGCAGCAGCAGTAAGATAATAATTGGGCAATTTAAGTCATTTAGTGGAAATTTTTACCCTTCATTTTCTTTGTAGGTGCATACGTGACTGCAATTTTACTTCTTTGTCTTTAAAAAGTAGTATCTTGCAGCAAATCATTTGGAATGTCATGCAACAAGCCTTACAACTCTTGGATAACTATTTGTACATCGATTCTTGAAGTTTTCCTGGTAACATATATGTAATCCTTTATGCCTTGCACAACTGCACTAACATTGAATTTTGGTCACTTTGCACAGGGTTTCTCTAGTGCTGATATTTCCCAAACAATTTACCACAAACAAAGCACACAATTTACATGAAGGAAGTTTTGACAAGGTGACAATTAGAAACATAGTCCCCTACCTTAGCCCCAAGAATACACAACAAAGTAAATAGGAAGAACAAAAGTTTGCGAAGAATCCTCAAACACTGACTTAATACGGGAGCTTAAACAACTCAGTTGACTCTCTTGTGGTAAAGCTTCCAAATTGAGAAAGCTGAAGTAGCAATGCACACACACACACACACACACAAACCTGCCAAGGTAAACTTGCTGTAAAGTA